GCCCAATATGCCACCTAATCTTATAACAGCTGATTTAATACGGAAATTGAGAAAAGCAACTTTATTCTTTTGCAGTCCTATCTTAGTCAGTTGTTGAAAGCAATTTATGAAGATGGAGTGAACGTAACGGCGTACACGGCCTGGAGTCTAATGGATAATTTTGAGTGGTACAATGGATTTACGTAAGTCTTCGCTTCTTCCTACAATTTTCTTTAAAATTAAGATCTTACACATTTTAGAGTGCGGTTTGGATTATACAACGTAGATTTTGACAGCCCGAATAAAACTAGAACCGCAAAGGAATCAGTTTCTTACTACAGAAATATCATCGAAACAAGATGCTTGGTTGAAGCATGTGAAGAATAACGTTCTGTTACTTTTACTGATTTGCTAATTTGTATTTTTATTTTACTTTAATAATGATGTACTATCTTAGGAAATCTGTCTTTATATTGTAACCCAAGGCAAAACTACCATAAGGTGAACATCGAAGCAAGTTAAAAAAAAAACAATTTATTGCTGTGGTATAGTTGTTACGATATCAATTGGAACCTGTGAATCTTAAAGCACAGGACCGTCTGCTCTTCTCTTCCTGTGCTTTAGCCATTATGTCTCGTAATTTATACTCGAATAGCCATTGGGCGAGTCCGGTATTGGTAGACCAGTCCGCCGATGTAGAATCGACGGTGGCACGCCGGTCTTCAAAGCAAACCTGTATTGGTCCATTAGGACGTAAATACTTTTTTATTACTCATGACGGATAAGTCTTATCTTTTTGCATGTTTTTTAGGTCGGTAACTGGCTGTTTGCCCACTCTATTTATTTGCGTGCGGTAATATTACTTGTCGCAAAATTGAAATACCCACATACCCAAAAATATTATTTTTAAAAAGTGATATTTAAATGACAGTTTTTATGTCAACTTAAACTGAATAATAGATATTTATTATACAAGGGAAAAAAGTACTAGATTTTAGCTCGAGGTTTTGTTGTCTCCCGACGCGAAGCGGAGGGAGACAAAAAATCGAGAGGTAAAATCTACTTTTTTCCCGTGTACAACACACTATTTTTTCTGTGACGGGAAAAACAACGATTTAATGTTGAAAAAATATTATTACAATATATTAGTCACTAAAGTTTTAAATTGGTATGCTGTTATACTTATAGCGACAATTACATCTGCGTTGCTAAGGAAACCTTTAAGGTAATCAAATATCTGTCAATTTAATTCTGTGATTTGATTTAAAAATTGCAAACTTAGTGGTTGTTTAGTAGTTATTTTGAATAATATAAAGTTAAAAAATGTCTGATTCCGAGTTTTCTCTGACTCCACCGGAGTTAGTAGAAGCAGCGAAAGTAGAGTCACAAAAATTATTTTATTTCTGACCGGGATATTATAAGCTTATATCGTCATAGTTACGCTATCAATAAAGAGAGTCATAACTCCCTTGGGACATTATAGATTCTATAACTCCCTCTACCTTTCACAAGTAAAAATAAAATAAAAAATGCTAATATACATATATGTGTATATATTTATGAAATGAAAACTGAACCATATTTTATTTATTTGCGTCATTACAAATAATAAATGTACAATTTTGAAATGTTCCCTGAAAATTACTACCGCCACTGGAAACAATTTCTTCTTTTGTATGGCTGGAGCTTCTGTTCACTACAGTCGAGGTACCTGCCTCTTCTAATGGCAAAGTAGACAACATACGCGCCGTTTTATTTCTCAATTCGATGCTATCCTCCAGATACCCCTCCGCCACCGTGGAACTTTTCCAACCTCCGTGTCTTTTTAAGTTAGTCATAGTTGCTCCTGCATTAGCTAGAGCAGTAGCAGAAGTGCGACGAAGGCAATGTCCCGTATAGGAAGATGGGTTTGGCAATCCTAAATACATTGCGATTTTGCTGGGAATTTTCCCAAACATGTTTTTTCCAATTGGCTGAGATGTACATTTATTTTGTTGGAAGCGCAAAAAAAATCGTTCAATACCTTTAGGACGTAAAGACATATAAAGTCTTAATAAAGGCAAAGCAGAGAACTCTTTTTCATCCACAACTGTAAATTTCTTCGATACACCAGTTTTACTTTCCGGTACGTTCACTACCATAACGGAATCCCGGTCCTCTATATCCGATATCTTCATATTCAAAAGTTCCTGACTTCTGCATCCTCCAAAATAACCCATAATCAAAACAACCTAAAACAAAAAAAGGAAATAAATACACACAAAAAAAGGGAAAATAAGAAAAAAATTACCTTATGCAGTAAATGAATTTCATTAGGAGCGTTCTTTAGAAATCTGATAACATCATTAGGAGATAAAACAGCAGACTTTTTCGGCTTATAACTCTTACTCTTCCGTTTCAAAAAAGCCTCTAGTTCATTGAACTTGGCGATATCTCGTTTCTCATGTATATTCACCTTCGATTTTAGCATTGACCATTTAGTCCATAAAGAATTCGGACTATACGTTTCTGACTGCAACGAATAAACAAAATTACTACCAAATCTACCGAAAAACATAGAATATTCCTTACCAATTCTTGAAAATATGCCAGTAATACAGTTTCAGTGGCATCTTTTGGCATAACATTATTCCGTGTCAGCCACTCCAGATATATCTTGTATTCTTTTTGGTATACGGCTTCACTTTTCGATGGAATTAATGATTCTCTTGCTTTTTCAGCTTTTTTCAAAATCTGCTCCATTATATTTGGGGTAGAAAACACGTTTTTAACGCAAACACAGCTTGATAACAAAGTACTGTTTATAAGCAAGTAACAATTCTGTTTATAAACACGTAACATAGCAACAACCTAGCAACAACAAAACTCTTATAATCAATGGTACCTGATTCAAATATACTGGGAAGGTAATAAATTGGTACATTTTTTCCGTTTTAAAAATAAACAATATTTTATTGAAATCGGTCAGAAATAAAATTATCTATGTACCATGGGAATTAATGAGCCTTAATAACCTCAGGCAATTGCTGTCCCTCGGGCGGGACGCCCTCGGGACGCAAACTTTGCCATCGGTAATTAAGGCCCTTATAATTCCCTAGGTACATAAATAACTATTAAATATCTACCTTTACTTATGTATATTGTATATATCCGGGAAAAAAGTACTCACTTTTTTCCCGGAGAAAAAAGCAATTTCATAAAAAGTGACATTTTGTTACCTGTCAACAGAGATAAAATGTCAAACTTTTTCCCCGTTACAGAAAAATATATATTTATTATACAAGGGAAAAAAGTACTAGATTTTAGCTCGAGGTTCCCGACGCGAAGCGGAGGGAGACAAAAAACCGAGAGGTAAAATCTACTTTTTTCCCGTGTATAATACACTATTTTACAACGATTTAATATTGAAAAAACATTATTACAATATATTAGTCACTAAAGTTTTAAATTGGTAGGCTGTTATACTTATAGCGACAATTACATCTGCGTTGCTAAGGAAACCTTTAAAGTAATCAAATTACTATACTGTAATGTAATCAAATTACATATTAAATATCTACCTTTACTTATGTATATTGTATATATCCGGGAAAAAAGTACTCACTTTTTTCCCGGAGAAAAAAGCAATTTCATAAAAAGTGACATTTTGTTACCTGTCAACAGAGATAAAATGTCAAACTTTTTCCCCGTTACAGAAAAATATATATTTATTATACAAGGGAAAAAAGTACTAGATTTATAGCGACAATTACATCTGCGTTGCTAAGGAAACCTTTAAAGTAATCAAATTACTATACTGTAATGTAATCAAATTACATATTAAATATCTACCTTTACTTATGTATATTGTATATATCCGGGAAAAAAGTAAAAAAGTCACTTTTTTTCCGGGGAAAACAGCAATTTCATAAAAAGTGACATTTTGTTACCTGTCAACGGAGATAAAATGTCAAACTTTTTTCCCGTTACAGAAAATAAATATGTGGACCTCACCGGCGCTTCGCTCCTGGACTCTAAGATTTCATTGCATTCGTAATAAAAAATAGTATGTGCAATTCGTGCGGTTGTCTGTTACCCATTGAGCGGATGAGCGCATTCACTTTGTTCGTGCGCTCAACTCCGCTCTCGTGGGCAATAGACAACTTACCGCACTTATTGGACAATATACTATTTTACATGGTATTCTATAATTAGTTTAGTGTCGAACGCTGTTCACTTGGTTTTGCCAGTGCAGTGGAGGGCAGTGCTTGGCGTTGTTGTTTGTTTGTATAATATGTATTATTAATTATTAGTTAATATTAATGTTTGTTCATATCGTAACCAGTCAAGAGTAATAGTTATTAAAATAAATATTATATACGTAATTATCTAGTAGTTTAGCATGGCGAAGGTTTGAAAAGAGAAAATTGTGAACTGTAACCTGAGGGGTTATTTCTTTAATTATCTATCTACCGTTATGACCAGTATCATAACGAGTCTGGATGTCAAAAGAGTTTACTATTCTCGATAGGAAGTTTATAATTATCATCACCTTTTAATTAACACGTGGGAACTTAGAAATGTTGTGTGTTCAGAGAATGAATTTCAAGCACTTACCATCCATTGCTTACGTAGAATGTAATCCAGTGACTGGCTGTACAGGGTGATACTAAAGTTGAGAGAAACAAAAGGAAATACCAAAACTTCCAGGAAGGGTTTTAATAACAATAAACAAAACAAACACACAAAATAAGGACACAACTACTCGAACAGCATTATTAATTTATTTATTTACACGCGACAGCGTACCGAGATTCAGGGAATGTGAGATTCATAGCAAAATTTGGAAAAAAATGTATCCATTATTAAATTTAATTAATTAGCCCGAGACTCCAAAACTAAGTCGACTCTCAATGTGGAACCTAAGGAAGAACTGACTTTTTTGGTAGATCTCTCCCGAATTCGACACTTCGCTTCGACACGCCCATTTTTTGAGTCCAGACGTTTCTGTTAACTTACTGGCGGGAACCCTGGATATCGGACGCTTTGGCATAACTATGCCATGTTAATAGTTATCTAAGTAATTTTGAGACTAAGCTTACAAATAACCCTAGCCTTCCTCTAGTGACTCCGTGTAGCGATACGGGACGGATTAGTCGATCTCATTTAATATATCCTTATAGCTTGGACAATCCGCCAAAAAAACAGTTATTTGATCTGTTACTTTCTTTTCCAATTACTATCAATTTAGCAATTTGATTTAATTCTACTTTGGAACCTCTACGCTCTTCTCGTGGTTACTTGCTTAACACATGGCCCCGACTCTAGGTGAACTTGTCCAAAAAATATTGCTAAATTTCGTGAAGCCTTCCCCGA